TGGATGAACACAGCAGGCCAAGTAACATCAGAGGAGCAGGAAAGCTGACATTTCAGGTCTAGACCCTTCTTCAGAAATAGGGGAAGGGAAGGGGATTCTGAAATAAATAGGGAGAGAGGGGAGGCGCACAGAAGATGAATAAAGGAGAAGACAGGTGTAGAGGAGACTGACAGGTCAAGGAGGCGGGGATGAGGCAAGTAGGGAGGAGATGGGGATGGGGTTTGAGGTGGGAGGAGTGGATAGGTGGGAGGACAGGGTAGGGAGGCAGGTACGAGCTGGGCTGGATTTGGGATGCGGTCAGGGGAGGGGAGATTTTGAAGCTTTTGAAATCCACATTGATAGCATTGGGCTGCAGGGTTCCCAAGCGAAATATGAGAAGCTGTTCCTGCAACCTTCGGGTGGTATCGTTGTGGCACTGCAGGAGGCCCAGGATGGACATGTCGTTCAAGGAGTGGGAGGGGGAGTTGAAATGGTTCGTGACTGGGAGGTGCAGTTGTTTGTTGCAAACCAATCGTAGGTGTTCCACAAAGCGGTCCCCAAGCCTCCGTTTGGTTTTCCCGATGTAGAGGAGGCCACAATGGGAACAGCGGATACAGTATACCACATTAGCAGATGTGCAGGTGAACATCTGTTTGATGTGGAAGGTCTTCTTAGGGCCTGGGATGGGCCTGAGAGGGGAGGTGTAGGGGTAGGTGTAGCATTTCCTGCGGTTGCATGGAAAAGTGCCGGGGGTGGTGGGGCTGGTGGGGAGTGTGGAGCGGACAAGGGAGTCATGGAGAGAGTGGTCCCTCCGGAAAGCAGATAAAGGTGGGGAGGGAAAAATGTCTTTGGTCGTGGGGTCGGATTGCAGATGGCGGAAGTGTCGGATGGTGATGTGTTGGATCCGAAGGTTGGTGGGGTGGTACGTGAGGACGAGGGGGATTCTGTTTTGGACGTCCTCGTTTTTCAAGGACCGCAACTTCTCCTCCACAGTGGTCGAAAACGCCCTCGACTGTGTCTCTCGCATTTCCTGCAACTCATCCCTCACACTTCCTCCCCACAATAACAACCAAAACAGAATCCCCCTCGTCCTCACTTACCACCCCACCAACCTTCGGATCCAACGCATCGTCCTCCGACACTTCCGCCATCTGCAATCCGACCCCACTACCAAAGACATTTTTCCCTCCCCACCTTTATCTGCTTTCCGGAGGGACCACTCTCTCCGTGACTCCCTTGTCCGCTCCACACTCCCCACCAGCCCCACCACCCCCGGCACTTTTCCATGCAACCGCAGGAAGTGCTACACCTGCCCCTACACCTCCCCCCTCACGCCCATTCCAGGCCCTAAGAAGACCTTCCACATCAAACAGATGTTCACCTGCACATCTGCTAATGTGGTATACTGTATCCGCTGTTCCCATTGTGGCCTCCTCTACATCTGGAAAACCAAACAGAGGCTTGGGGACCACTTTGTGGAACACCTATGATCGGTTTGCAACAAACAACTGCACCTCCCAGTCGTGAACCATTTCAACACCCCCTCCCACTCCTTGAACGACATGTCCATCCTGGGCCTCCTGCAGTGCCACAACGATACCACCCGAAGGTTGCAGGAACAGCATCTCATATTTCGCTTGGGAACCCTGCAGCCCAATGGTATCAATGTGGACTTCACAAGCTTCAAAATCTCCCCTCCCCCGACCGCATCCCAAAACCAGCCCAGCTCGTACCTGCCTCCCTAACCTGTCCTCCCACCTATCCACTCCTCCCACCTCAAACCCCACCCCCATCTCCTCCCTACTAGCCTCATCCCGCCCCCTTGACCAGTCCGTCCTCCCTGGACCGACCTATCCCCTCCCTAACTCACCATTACTGGCTCCAACCCCACCTCCTTGACCTGTCTCTCTCCTCTCCACCTATCTTCTCCTTTATCCATCTTCTATCCGCCTCCCCTTTTCTCCCTATTTATTTCAGAATCCCCTTCCCCTCCCCCATTTCTGAATAAGGGTCTAGACCCGCAACGTCAGCTTTCCTGCTCCTCTGATGCTGCTTGGCCTGCTGTGTTCATCCAGCTCTACACCTTGTTATCTAACATTCTAATGGTACTGTGTTCCAATTAATACAAGTCCCACTTATTTAAACCAAAAATTTATTTAAAAATTAGAATTCAGTCTTCTTGAATGTTCTATGTCATCTCCATTGATCTTCTATCAGGAACACATTCTCCATTGAATTCTTTTGTCAGGAATATTAACTAAGAGTGTCACTGTACCTTTATTTACTTGATGCTTTCTTTGAGAGCTGAGTGAGCTGATCTCTTATCAGATGGCAGTTCACTCTCTGCTAATTTTGCAACTGTCCACGTCTGTTATACCCTTGATGACATATCAATTTCTTACAATAGGATTGGTCCTATGTTGTCAAAACCATCAGATTTAAATTTAATTGGTTTTTAGTATCTAAGTGCCTGGTTTAAATTAATTGGCTAAATTCAAACTTGTTGTCTTGATAACAAAACAAAACTGTGGCTTGGACGGCTAACTAAACAGCCTTTGACACAAATGTTACAATTCAGATGCTCTGGGTAGCTGAAAACACACAAGCTGCCCACAGACAATTTTTTTCTCCAAGCCAAGAAAAAGCACATCATTTTTTAAAGGGGCCACACACTGCTTTCCCCCCTACCAGTTTATAAACATCAATATTTCACAAACACCAAATTCTAATATTCTACCTTCCAATCTACAAGTGCTGTACTCAATTTTGCAAAAAGATAAGAGCCCATGATGTTGGAAGTAGTATATTAGCATGGATAGAGTATTGATTAACTAATATAAGACAGCAAGTTGGAATATAGAGGCATTTTCAGGACGTCAACCTGTAATTAGTGGAGTGCCTTCGGCATTACTGCCAGGACCATAATTATTTACAATATGTACTCATGATTTAGATGAGAAGAGTGAATATATGATTTGTGCAGATGACACAAAAATAGGTGGAAAGGCAATTGGCATGGACAATACAGAGCCTACAGAGTAATATAGACAAGTAAGGTGAGTAGGCAAAACATTGGCAGGTGGCAGATGGAAAATGTGAGCTTCTTCACTTTGGCAGGAGGAGTAGGAGAGCTGAATATTATTTAAATTGAGAAAGACTAGAGACAGCTGCAGCACAAAGGGACTTGATGGTGATCAAATTTAGTAGATAATGGGGAAAGACTTTATTTCAAAGGGAATGGAGTATAAAATTGGGGAAGTCTTGCTAAAAATATACAAGGCACTAGTTAGACCATACCTAGAATACCATGAATAGTTTTGGTCCCTTTATCCAACAAAAAAATTACTGGCATTGGAGGCAATCCAGAGAAGGTTCATTAAGCTGATCTAGGTATGCAGAGATTTTTTTTTGATGAGGAAAGGTTGAGTATGTTGGGCTTGTACTCATTGGGAGTTTAGACGAAGAGAGGAGACTTTATTGAAACACGTAAATATCTTAGGAGGCTTGAAAGGCTAGATGCTGAGAGGTTGTCCCCTTGCGGGAAAGTATAGGACCAGATATCATAATCTCAGAGTAAGGGATCACCCATTTAAGACAGACGAGGAAGGATTTATTCTCTCAGAGGGTGGTAAATCTAGAATTTGTTACTGCAAAGATCTGTAAACGTTGGGCCATTAAGAATAGTCAAGGCTGAGGTAGACAGATTTTTTACACTAAGGGCATTAAGGGTTATGGGGAAAAGGCAGGAAAGTGGAGTTGAGGGTTATCAGATCAGACATTATCTTATTGAATGGTTGAGCCGAGTTGATGGGTTGAATGAGACTATTAAAAACTATTACATTAAAGAAGTTGACTTTGGTTTGTAAATTTCAGTTTAACTAATATTCTGAACCATTTAAGTGAGAGAGTTGAAAATTGTGCTGTGTATTCAAAAGTACTTTTGGACATCACTCCTGGTTCACAAAATAATGCCCCATTTATCTGGATTGTCCTCTAGAGGATTTCATTTCACAGTATCCATCCTGTGCAATTCCTTCATCACTTAAAGACCTCAATTAGGTCACCTCACACTTTCTGACATTGAACTTGATTTGCTGTAGTTTTGGCCAGTGATCCATTTCCATTCACAAATTTATGTTCTTACCTAAACAAGCTAATGCCTCCCTTTGTTTCTATCAACTAATTGGAAGTTTAGGACATAAGTCCTAAAATTCAGTCCAATAATAATGAACAAATTGATGACTATTTTTAAACAAAAATATCAGTCTTTCCGAAATCAATCTGCAATAGCTGTTCATTTGGGAAGTTAAATCATTCAATGGGGTGAAATGTGACTGGTGAGAATAAACAGCTAAACCAAGTTAATATGCATGGTCAAAAGTTGAGCCAGTGATAAAATATGTTGTTAAACCTTTTGTCTGACTTCACCAATCAGAGAGTATTTCCTTTATCTGTAATCAGTCTCCGTTTCTCAAAAAATTGCCAACTCATGTCACAAAGTTATTTCCAATTCCTGCACATTCTTCATATTTTTCTGAGTAACATCAGCAAATGCTTTAGTGAGTCCAAAGACCTGTCTAAGAAACAATGGTTGATGATAGATCTCCAAACAATCTTAACAAGAATAGGTACTTAATTTACATGTTAAGGTGTGGTTTATTGCATGATGGCAATAGGTACAATTAAGATGAACTAATTAGGCAATATTACAAATATTTAAAGCCATGTAAACCCTATCTGTCTCCCGTGTAATCTTGAGCATGATCAACTATTTCAATGCTCACCCACTTACTATGCTGTGGGGTCAACTCAGGTGGGAAGAGAGTGGATTGCACACCTGCCTATTTTCCAGGTGCTCCCTCACCCCAGCCATGCCCAATGACAGCACATAAAATTCAACCTCGGGTATCTGTTCATGATCCTCCTTTCACTTCTATGGTTAAATGCTATGAAAACTATCTGCTTATTCAGTGCATTTATTTGCAACTTAAGAGTCCATTAAGTATTTGATTTGTGCACAGGGAATGAAAGGCCAAGAGGTTGTACAAATGATTGAATCAAATAAACGACTGGATGCTCCAGTGAGATGTCCTGTTGAAATGTATGAATTGATGCGAGAATGTTGGACGTACAAGTAAGTCATTTCCTCATGCTTCAGTTAAATTAACATAAAACCTGGGGCAGAAACTTACAGGAGTCTGAGTGATGTGGACTACGGCAATTTGTGCAGCAGAATCAAGTGCAGCGATACCCATTTCAATGTTGAGATCCTCTCACTGCATCTTTTATGCTTTAGTATGCTTTGGTGAGATGATCACTAGGCAGTTCAAGATCCCAAATGGTGCGGATTAACATTTGTTAAATGCCTTGTTAGCAGCACAACCCACCTCCTTAATATTCAGCCACCTAAACAAATTTTAAAAATGTGCTAGGCATTGGTAAAACTTGACAAGGAGACCAAAATATGTAACCGGTGGTTTCAGCTCACCACTTGCTCTGAACACCCTCCATGTTGGAAACTGAGCACCAATATCTTAGGGAACACTCCACAGGCACTGGCCACGAACACAACAATGGACATTAGCATCTGACTTGTGTCAGCTTCTAAGAAACTTCATGTCACATCACTGATCCCCTTATAGGACATTTCTGCACCTTAATGTTATATCTCAGGCCAGCTATAACACTGCAGCAAGGACACTGTGCTCAGGGCCTTGCACCCAGCTTGTAGACTGGATCAGCTACATTGAAACGCTTTTCACGCTGTCATAACACACACTCAGTCTGAGCCTGAGACAGTAGGAACTGCAGATGCTGGAGAATCCGAGACAACAAGGTGCAGGGCTGGATGAACACAGCAGGCCAAGCAGCATCATAGGAGCAGAGAGGCTGATGTTTCGGGCCTAGACCCTTCATCAGAAAAGGGGGAGGGGAAGGGGGTTCTGAAATAAATAGGGAGAGAGTGGGAGGCGGATAGAAGAGGGATAGAAGAGAGGATAGGTGGAGAGGAAACAAACAGGTCGAAGAGGCGGGGATGGAGCCAGTAAAGGTGAGTGTAGGTAGGGAGTTAGGAAGGGGATAGGTCAGTCCAGGGAGGACGGA